AACTCCACTGAGCCATCTCCCTGGCCCTCAGGTAGCTTTTCTTATGCATGACTGTGTTCAACCAGAATGAGTGGCTGGGGTTTGTACTGTCTCTGGAGGGCCACTTCATTTGCACAGGTTGTTCACTGCACAAGGGGGCCCAACTGAAGGAGCAGGTAGGGCCTGAAATGCTGCCCGTGCACTCTTTATGCACTAGGCCCAAGCCCCAACAACGTGGGCTGCGAGTCACTGAGGAAGGGGCACTTTTCACTTATTTGCACCAGTGCCCTGGGGCCTTATGCACTTACACTCAACTTCCTGCCTTGACCCAGACTATGAGCCCCAGGAGGAGTGGAGTCCATGGTCCCCCTGCAGTGGGAGGTGCAGCAGTGGCAGCCAGCAGAGGACTCGGCCCTGTGGCTATGCCTGCACTGCCACTGAGTCCCGAATCTGCAACCTGCCCCCTTGTCCTGGTGAGATGAGCCCCAGCCCCTGCATCAGAATGCTTGGTATGGCTTAGACTCTGGCTTTTAGCCCCTGGGAATGTGGGTGTCGGGCTCTTATTGGAAGGGTAGGGCTGGGGAGGGGAGGTGGGAAGCTCACAAATATGGTGGTCCTGTCCCAGACCCGTCCTAGCAACTCTGGACCCCAGAGCACAGTAAGGGCTAGACTTTCCCTTTGGGAGCTAGAGGTGCTCTGGGACGCCACAGCCCGGCCTCTTCTCTTCCCAAAGGTGCTGAGGACGAGGACACTTTCCCCAGCGAGGGGTTGCAGCCCCCAGCCTACCGTACTATGGACATGCTTGGCCCAGGTCAGTGAGGGGCAGAGGGTGAGGGGAGAACCCCTCTCAAGTGGGTGAGTTTCAGATGGCAGGAACAAGGCCTCCCTCCACCTCTGAGGTGGGCCCATTGGGTTTCCCAGTCCATGCTCCTCCAGAGGTCATTTATTTTTAAAAAAATTTATTTATTTATTTATTTATTTATTTAGGTCAGATCCAGAGGCCACTGTGATGGTAACCAGAGCTTGGAACCCCTTAGAGATGTTTGTCTTCCCTGGCGGCCTGGTGGGGAAGGGAATTCTGACTTCTTCCTGGTCACCTTTTCAGAGGCTTCTAGGCAGGCTCTATCTGGGTAGTGGATATGGTGCTATGAAAATGGGTCAGGTGCCACATTTCAAGACTGCTCCTTGTAGGCAGCTGGGAGTCTGTGTCTCTTGGTCTCACTGTACCTCCCAAGGCAGGTAGGTAGCAACTGGTGGGAGGCACACATGACCTCCTGGGTACAGCACTGCAAAGCAGGTTCCAAAGCTCTGGGGCCCAAGTGAAAGGGGCAATTCACTCTGTGGCCAGAATCAGAGGCTACAGTTTTCCAGGGAGAGAGAGAGAGGAGGACAGCGTAGACAGAGGGAGCCCAGGAGCCAGGAGGAGATAGGGACGAGCCAGGGGCAAGTGAGGGCCTGGGACAGTGGCACACACCTCTGTTCCCAGTTGTTTGAAGCCAGCTGGGCCACTGAATGACGCCCCTCAAAACAGAAACAAGAAAACAAAATAGAACAAATCAAGTGTGGATTATTGGTTAAAACATTGAAAAACACTATCTAAACTGCTGGTTAAAAAGCCCACTTTCTCCAGTCCCTTTCCCAAATCTGAGTCCTTTGCACTGCCCAGCAGAGGAGCCCCAGGCTCTGGCTCCAGGCTGTGGTCAGTGTATATTTTCAGTGACAGTAGCTGGCTTCAGGTGCTGGCAGGTGTGGGGTGGCCCTTGAGCATCCCCAAACCTGGTTTGGGTCCTTCTAGTCCTGTCCTTAAGACTCGAAGCCATGCCTTTGTCTCAGCCAGGATCTTGGTCTCCTGTCCTTATTACTGACCCCGAGCGTCCCCGTGGCCCCTTAAGGCCCTGTTGCGCCCTGACCAGCTGCCCTGCCGCACCTTCTTGCCCTCTGCAGATGTGGACAGCTGTGAGAAGTGGCTGAACTGCAAGAGCGACTTCCTAACCAAGTACCTGAGCCAGGTGCTGCAGGACTTGCCTAGCTGCCCCTGCGCCTATCCGCTGGAGGCCGTGTCCAGGGCAGTGAGCTTGCAGGATGAGCGCCGGGGCCGCAGCTTCCGGTGGAGGGATGCCAGCGGCCCGCGCGAGCGCCTGGACGTGTACCAGCCCACAGCGCGCTTCTGCCTGCGCTCGCTGCTGTCAGGCGAGAGCAGCACCCTGGCGGCCCAGCACTGCTGCTACGACGAGGGCAGCCGGCTGCTGACCCGAGGCAAGGGTGCCGGCGCGCCTAACCTGATCAGCACTGACTTCTCCCCGGAGCTGCACTTCAAAGTGGACACGCTGCCCTGGATCCTGTGCAAGGGGGACTGGAGCCGCTACCACGCAGTGCGGCCGCCCAACAATGGCCGGGCCTGCGCTGACAACCCCCCTGAGGAGGAGTACCTGGCACAGTTGCGGGAGGCCAAGGAGTACTAAGGAAGGCTGCGAGTGGGAGAACCGCGCTCCTAGCCCTGCTCCCCGCCCTTGTCCAAGCTCAGCCAGGGGAGGTTGTCTGGTGCTGCATAGCCCCTGATTGTGACCTCTAGGCAGGTCAGGCACAGGCACTCCCTGGGTGTGTGGTGGGGGAGAAAGCTGGGTGTACAGGGCCGTCGGGGGGGGGGAGTTGGAAATGTGTGTACACTCGTGTTTCTTAGGGCCTCCTCTCTTGACTGCATGGCAAAGCTGCCACGCCTGGGCTGTCTTGTCCTGGCTGTGCACACAGGGATGACCAGAGCATTCCGGACACATCCTGATTGCCAGGAGCTGCAGCAGGCATCTCAGACTCTCATCCCAGCTGAGCAGGGAATGAGGGGACAATAAGAAGAGCCACTCCTTTCATCTGGCCCTACAGCTGCCCCTTGCCAAGTGATATCAGGGAGTGATGGCGCTTCCTTAACTGGGTGGGGCCCCTCTCATCCCTCCCCCACTAGGAACCACTGCGGAAGGGGTGTCTTAGCTCGAGGCTGCCCCCTTCTGGAGGACACATCAGCCTGAGACCTGAGTAGCCAGAGGGGCACAGACGGGGTCACCCAATTCTGATTCCTCTCCTTTATTCAGCACCTTGTGTTCTACCCAGTAGGAGGGATTGGCAGGGCTCAGGATGGGCTTAGGGCTCATGGGCTTGAGTGCCTGTAGTGAATGCAAACCAGCAGTCCATTCGAGGGGCCCGATTGGGAGCATTTGGGTAGTTTCTGTTGGATCTATGTGGCTGTGGTGTCACCCAACACACTGACACAGAGCTGGGAGGAAAAGGCAGCTCTCTGAGTATATCCTGTTCCTCTTACTGGCCTCTGGCATCACCCAAACCACACTTCCTTGACTTTTAGGGGGATGAAATGTCAAAACCCCATCTGTCCCTGTTCACTAAAAGGTAAAGGACTTGGGTTCTAGTCTCTAAACAGCTGCCCTGAAGCTCTTGGGGATCCTCAGCAATAAAGCACTTTATTTTCCAGTTCTGTCTCATGGAGGATGGGGCGTAGGGAACCTTTGCTTACCACACAGACCAAAGCTCTCAAATGTTGCTTTTGTAATTGCCCAGTGCACAGCTGGCTTGTTTTGTGAAACACCTGGGCAGACCAGGAGTGGGGAGTGAGCCTGCAACATACATAGTGGGCTGCCTTCAAGACTAAGAGGAAGGGCCAGGGAGATGGCCCAGTAGAATAAGTGCTTCCCTGGCAAGCGCAAGGGCCTGAGTTCAATCCCCGGTTCCGCAAATAAATAAATAAATAAATAAATAGATAGATAAAAAGACTAAGAGGAAGGGCTGGGGAGATGGCTCAGTACAATAAGTACTTCCCTGGCAAGCGCAAGGGCCTGAGTTCAATCCTCGGTTCTGCCAAAAAAATAAAAAAAACCCCAACCAAACAAACAAAAAACAACCAAAAGAGAGGGGTGGGAAGCAGAGAAAAGGAAGGCCACCACCTGGAGCTCAGAGAACCATGTGATTCCATTTGCCATCTTACCTAAAGGTAAGTTGTTCGTCTGGTCCTGGGCGACTATGCAACTGGAAGAAGATTCAACGGTCAGAGAAGGCCAGGCCACGTTCACGTTCTTTCTGCCATCTGAGGATTTCAGTGACACTAACACAGGGTTGGGAGTGCAGTTTAGCAGAACAGGGCCTTGGATGTGGCCCTGGGCTCGATCCCCAGTACCACACACATGAAATTAACGCAGGCATGTTTCAATATTTTATTTTTCTTGAGACTAGAATCTTTCCATGTTGCTCAGGCTGGCCTTGATGCCTGGGTTCAAGTGATCCTCTCACTTCGTGCCCCACTGTACCTGGCTTGTTTTAATTATTTTTGGCTGAAACTTTTGTTTTTTAATACAAGGTATAGATGCCCCAGTATTTCAGAAAACAAATCCTTCTCTCTAATAGAATTTACCATGGCTCTTACCACTGTCTAAATCAAACCGATACCTAATGGTTGTCTGTTACACAAAACTAAATTTAAAATTATAATGTAAGCAACACACAAAACTGTGGCCATGATAGGTCATGGAAAGAAACTAAAGAAAAGGGGGCAGAGCAGGAATCTTGAAGGGACTTTGGAGTAAGTTAGCTCAGAAATAGCGTTCATTCAAGCTATGCAAAGTTAGAAAGGGAGCCAGCGCAGGTGGCTGCAGTCTCAGGACCACCTGGGTAGGAGGAGGAGCAGCCCTGGTAAGTGGGGGGGAGTGTTACTGAGCCCAGGAAAGAGGACTCCAAGGGCCAGTATCAGAGTCAGGATGCCTATGAAAGCAGAGATGGTCCCTCCTCCCCTTCTGCTCCAATGTCAACTCACCTCACTGGCCTGAGCAGCTGTTCTTATTCTCAATACCAGGAGCTCATCCATGGCCCCAGCACCTGGAATGAACACCATCGCATCAGCAATTCTACCTTAACAAACTGATTTTGCCCAGTCTTTTCCTTCATCTGCTTCATTAAGGGCCCTAGGGAAGGCCAGACCAGTCAAACTGAACCTCACTAGGGTTGAAAGCCACCAAGGGTACAAACCCTGCCAACACCTTGTCTCCTGAAAGTAGACGTCTCAGATCTTCTGTTCTGTTGGTCATAATCGGGCTCTGATGCACTGCTTTGCTTCCTCCATTAGTTTTGGCTTTCTTTGCAGGTTAACATGACTCAAAACTTATCCCTGTATCAGAATCATCCGTGCTATTAAGATGCAGGTTCGTGGGCTACATGACGTGCCTGAGTAAGACTCTCTAGGAGTGGATCCACTTTTCTATAGTCAGCAGGTTTCCCCAGAGGGTTCTTAGGGGTGGAGAACTGGTGGGCTGAGCTGGCGTTCCGAAGTACCAGTTCTGGTGTGAGGAAACAATGCTTGGGGTTGTGAGTTCACAAGCCAGCAGGCAGCATCTATCTGCTCGGTGCCCCCAGGCGCGGGTGCTCCTGTCATCACCTTAAATGCTTTCACAAGGTGCTTATCACATTCATTTTACAGATATCTGCCCAACTGGTTAGGGAGTAGAACATTTATCACTCAAGCCAAGGCCATGTTTTTATTTTTTGTAGCACCATTCTGCTTTCTTAGATTCAGATGGCTAACTGAAATATCAGTAAGACGGTAGGGATAGGAACTGAAGAACCATATGGTCCTGGACATGAGCCCTGTTACTGAGTGTCACATGACAGAGTGGTAAACTAGTGCTCTGGCTCTTACTAAAGTGCTGTAATCTCTTCACATTTTCCTCAGAGTATTCTGTAACTGTTAACTTGCCAGACGGAGCTTTAGCTTTTTGTTAATGATCTGTGTTGATTTGGTTCAAGCTGTAGTCGAAGTGTTTTTTTTTTTTTTTCTCCCTTTAATTGAAAGATGTCTTTTTAGACTGTGAAGGAAATGTCATGGCAAATGAGGTGTTAGTGAATTCAGTCCAGCACTCATCTGAGTAAGCCACGAGAAGAGGGCCTTTAGGGATGTACATGAACCAGACTGCAGCTCTCAAGATTTTCTGCCTTAGGGGCTGGGGAGATGGCTCAGTGGAATAAGTGCTTCCCTGACAAGCGCAAGGGCCTGAGTTCTAATCCCTGGTTCCGCCAAAAAAAAAAAAGATTTTCTGTTTTGGCCAAACTGAGATTAGCTAGCAATCTAAAACAGGCAAAGACAGATGATGAAAACAGCGGCAACTGCAGGAGGTAGCAGGCAGCCTTGGAGGGTGCTGACACTGGAGTGCAGAGGCCAGAGTAGGCTTCTGGAAGTCTCTCTGTTCAGCTAGTTTTGCCTTACATGTGGTAGTCCAGACTCCACGAGAATGCACTTGGCACACAGCCTGCACTCATGAAATTGTTCATAGGTGCCAGGCATTTAGAACTACTTTAACAAGATATTGTTTTCCCTAATGATGGTTTTTTTTTTTTGGCAGAACTGGGGATTGAACTCAGGCCCTTGTGCTTGCCAGGGAAGCACTTATTTCACTGAGCCATCTCCCCGGCCCCAGTGATGGGGTTTTGAACTCAGGACCTTATGCATACTAAAGGCTCCTATCACTGATTCCACCTTTTTCAAAAATTTGGACAAATTCTTGCTAAATTGTCCCAGCTGACCTCCACTAGCAATCCTCCTGCCTCACTCCCCTGAACAGCTAGAATTAAGAGTGAGCCACCTACTGTGCTCAGTTTTCTTCCTTTGGGGGTGAGGAGGTACTGAGATCTGGACTTTTCTAAAATCTAAGTCTTTATGGGGATGAACCAACATGGCAGCAGTGTCTCCATCCGAGCCTGTGCTCTGCAGTTAGTCCTCATCCAAATCCCAATCCTGCGCAGTGTTAGCTTGTGGGGGCTGTGCTATTCAACAGGCTTACTGTGTATGCATAAGGAGACTCAAGGTTTAAGTTCTTGAAATAAATGATGAAACCCATCTCACTGGGCTTTATGGAGATTAAGTGAGCTGATGGGAGGAAACTGTTCCACTTCCAGTACACAAGTGCCTAACACAAGCCACCGCAGGTTGGCAACATCCTTGTTTCTACATCTCAAACCAGCTCCTGGTGGTCATCTTTGCAAGGGGGGAAGAGGCCATGGAGAGCGGAGAGCCCAGGACACCATTGGTGGGGGCCTCCTTACTTGTTCAGGGTAAAAGGCACTTTTTTTTTTTTTTTTGGTGGAATCAGAGATTGAACTGAGGCCTTTGCACTTGCCAGGGAAGCGCTTATTCTACTGAGCCATCTCCCTGGCCCCAAAAGCCAGCTTTTTGCAGGCTGCAGGATCAAGCTAGACTGGCTGGAGGATGCCTGGTGGTAAGAAGCAGGTTCCCTCTGTGCCTTTCATTATCTACTCTTACTTAGAATAGAACACCTGCCCCTCTTTAAAATTCAAAGCCAGGGACACAGCTCAGCAGCACAATGCCTGCCTGGCATGCCTGAGGTCAAGTTCAATTCCTGGCTCCCCAAAAGAAAAAACCCAAACCCTAAAACAACAAAAAAAACCCATAAAATTCAAAGCCTTCAGAAGTCAGTACCAACCCCTCAATGAACACAGGTCCCAGATTTGTTTTTAAAATTACGTTTATTTAGCGTATGTACACATAAAAGAGAAATTACCCTCTGACCCCACCCAGCACAAAACATGCACAAACCCAAGGTATACGTGGAAGAGAGGGCCCCAGCCCCAAGTTAGCAGTTGGGATGATACAATCCTGTGAGTCACTAGCCCCAGTCACAAGTGCTGGGCAGGCTGGAGCCCCCGCTGCCAGCCCTAAAACAAGCGTGCGCCATAGCCAAAGGTCTGTTTGATGCCCTCAAAGTAGTACCGCTGCCAGCCCTGCCGCGTCCGCTCTTCCTCGGGGGCAGGGATGCCCCGGCCCTCCATGCATAGCTCAGTCTCTCCATTCTTGTCGAGGAAGGTCAAGGTGATGGTGGCAAAGTGCCCTGAGTGGGGAAAGTGAAAGGGGGGTGGGTGGTTCAGATCCAGGTTTCTGTGTAGGTTTATAACTAGGCAGAAAAAACATTCTAGGGAAACATCAATAAACAAACATGCTTACTTACCCTCTGGCCAAGATTTGAACCTCCACTTCATCACAATATGTTTCTCAGGGACCTAAAATAATCAAAGAGCTCAGTCTACAGTAGACTGCAGTATACCCAATCCTACCTAGAGTTGGCCATCTGCCTTTCTATGGTCTATCATCTGTGAACTGATTTTTTTTTTTCCCCCCGGAACCGGGGATTGAACTCAGGCCCTTGCACTTGCCACAGAAGGGCTTATTCCACTGAGCCATCTCCCCGGCCCTGTGAACTGATATTATTTGCAAGACAATTCAAATGATAGCATTCTTTTGAAAAATAAAACATGAAATTAAGTCTTAAATTTTACCCACTAAGCTAAAAAAAGGACAAAGTCACTTACCAATCCAACCCAAGACTAGGGCTTGAAGATACTCACCAGATCAGTAAACTCCCCAGAGACGTTGCCATCCACCATGTGAAACTTCCCACCTTTGTCTGCTTCTAGCATCGCAGGAGCGTGGGTAAAGGCCTGAACCAGCTGGGATGCAGGAGGGGAGAAGATGTGTGATTTTCAATGGGATGCAGGGACAGATGCCACCGAAACCTGCCTGCCTTAACTCTCATTTCCAAAGATGCCATTCTACCCAGTGAGCAGGTTTCCCTTTCTTCCGTTTGGCTGGGAGGTGGTCTC